GCTGCCGCTGTCACGGTGCCCGGCGCCGTTCCCAGGTCATGCCTACAGGTACTGCAGCGCTGACGGGACGTGGGCTGTGGCTTTCAGCATGAACAAGACCTGGGCCAATTACACCGAATGTGCTCTGCTCTTCTCCTCCGAGAGCCGGAGCCAGGAGAAGGTGACCCTGCGCATCGGAGGTGCTGGGAAAAGGGGCTGGGATGGGGACTGGGGAAGCGTGCATCAAAGGCCAGGGCGATTGCCGGGAGCGGGGAGCTCTCCTCCCTCTGCTCCCCAAGCAAGCCCTGCTGCTCCTGTGCTCTCAGCCTGGAGCGGGGGGCAGAGGGGGGGCCTGGGCTGCAGAGGGGTTGTGGAGCACAGCCCTTCTCTTCCAGGAGGTGTTTGACCGCCTGCACCTGATGTACACCGTCGGCTACTCCATCTCCCTGGCCTCCCTCGTCGTCGCCGTCTGCATCCTCTCGTACTTCAAGTAAGGAGGAGCTGAACCCTCACCCCTGTGTGGGGCAGAACCATCTTCTCCCCACCGTCTGCACACACGACCACCTTGAGGGGGGGCAGCCCCTTGGGGGATGGCCCTAAACCCCACCACAAACATCAGACCATTTCCCAAAGCCCCAGAACACCCCCAGTATGACCAGCTCCCCGTCCACTCCACCCCACTTTTGAAGGAGTTGACACCCTACTTGCCCCCAGATCTGGCTCCTGTGCCCGTGGGAGGGCTGACACCTTGGAGTTCACCTCCTCTGGGACCCCACTGTTGTCCGAGCCCGGGTGCGATGAGCTTGTTGGGCAGCCGGGGCTGGGCTGGTGTCACATCCTTCTCCGTAGGCGCCTGCACTGCACACGCAACTACATCCACGTCCACCTCTTCACCTCCTTCATCTGCCGGGCGGTGAGCATCTTCGTGAAGGACACGGTGCTCTACTCGGGCATGCTGGCCAGCGAGACGGAGAAGATGCGGGAGGACGACTTCAAGGCAGAAATGGGTCCTTCCCCGGGACAACGGAGCCACCTGGCAAGTGGCACGCTGGGACCGGAGGCAGGGTCAGGGAAAAAGGGGATTTAGGAGCCCTGGTGCAAGGGGATGCACTTGGGACCCTCCCAGATGGGGGCTGTGCTGCCCAGGGGTGATGCAGGCGGGGAGGGATGAGGGGCCACCTGCAGCTCTGCCCAGCTTCTTCCCATCCTGGTCCCACAGTAGAGGTAGAGCCACAGAGGACCTGGGTCTTGCAGCCTGTCTGAGCTCAGAGTGCCCTGGTACGGGAAAGACCTCTCCTGTGGGCAATGCCCAGAGCACCTGCTCTATGTCTGATGCTGGAATATCCCAGGGGAGATGTAGCTCCCTGCCAGAGGAGGAACGTGAGCCATGCATGGGGCACAGCCTGGGTTTTGCTGGCCAGAGAGCCAAAGCCACCGAGTTTTGCTTTCAGAGGACAGCCTGATGTGGGCACCTCTCTGACTGCATGTCCGCAGGTTGGCTGCAAGGTGGTGGTGACCCTCTTCCTCTATTTTCTGGCCACCAACCACTACTGGATCCTGGTGGAAGGTCTCTACCTGCACAGCCTGATCTTCATGGCCTTCCTCTCCAACAAGAACTACCTGTGGGTCCTCATCATCATCGGCTGGGGTAAGCATGGACCCCAACCCAATGCTGTGGCCACTGAGACCAGCTGGGAGCTGGGGCATCAGCCATGGCTGAGCGGCACCGAGTGCCCAGGGAAGGGTGGTGGGATGAAGACGAGCTGCCAGGGACCACTTTGGTCTGCAAATGTGATGCTTCAGCCATGCTCCTCACTCTGGTTCCTGCCCCTCCAGGTCTCCCCGCTGTGTTCGTGTCTGTCTGGGCCAGCGTCAGGGCCTCCCTGGCAGATACACAGTACGTAGGTCCACCTTCTCCAACAGTCTTCTGGGGAGGGAAAGACTGGGTGCAAATGTTAGCAAAAATCTGTGGGCACCAGAACTTCTGAAAATGAGAATTTTCTGAAAAGAACAAGAGGACTCAACAGATGTACAAGGCTTGTTGATAAAATCGTCGCTAATCCAGAAGGATAGTGGTTTTGTTCTGCATTTGGGAGGAAGCTGGATGCAGGTTTACACCCTAAATTGATCAATAAACAGTGCAAAGATGAATGCTAAAGGGCATGTTCTAAAGTTAAGCATTTCAGAAGGAGAAAGGCCACCAAACATACAGCAGGAGTTTTAGACGAGTTGGCCAAGAAGCCCTCAGGAAAGTTAATGCTAATTTAAAACTGGTTTGCAACACCACGATGGTTGTGGATGCTTGTAACGCGGCTGCTGTTGGGTCAAGATTTACACAAACTCCACAAAGGGAGGAAGGGTGGGAGGATGGGGACGGTGGCTGTGAGTACAGGGAGCCGTCCGCTGCCCGTTTCCCTTACCAGTGATTTCAGGCTTCTCCAAGGTGCTTCTTTACTGGTCTCTTCAGGTGCTGGGACCTCAGCGCAGGGAACTTGAAGTGGATTTATCAAGTCCCCATCTTGGCTGCCATCGTGGTAAGAATCCCGTGGCTGAGTCTCCAAAACCCTTTTGGGGAAAGGAGATCGATAGAGACCCAGAGCCGTTTCCTTGTGGTCATTGGGGTTGTGTTCCCAGCCACTCCGGCACCCAGGGAGGGTCCATGTGATGCAGAGGGACCCAGGGGCACCAGTCAGTCCCCACTCTGACCACAGCATCCCCCCCACTCACCCAGAACTGCCTGTCCTCATCCTGGGGGGGCTGCTTGGGCAGGCTTGGGTCACTGTGGGCAACAAACCCGCAGCAGGTGTCTGTCGGCAGGTCAACTTCTTCCTCTTCCTCAACATTGTCCGGGTGCTGGCCTCCAAGCTCTGGGAGACGAACACGGGGAAGCTGGACCCCCGGCAGCAGTACAGGCAAGTGCTGGCAGCAGCAAAACCATGACCCTGGTGGTCTGGTTCATTTTCTGCCTGTCCAGCTGAGATGGCTCCCCAGAGGGTGGTGAACGAAGAGCAGAGGTGTGGGAAGGGCTGCAGGGTGATGGCAGCCAGCGCTTCTGGCAGCTCGTTCTTGAAACAGCAGGTTCAGGCTCTGCCCGCTGCCTTCTCCGAGCTGGACCCCCTGCAGCAGCTACATGTGCCCCGCCGCGGCAGCAGGAGCCCAAGCAGCCGCCCTCTCCGCTGGCACCTCAGCGATGCCTGCGAGGGGGCCGTGGGCGCCCGGCCGGCCCCGGCTGATGGCCACGAGTGTTTCTCCTCTCAGGAAACTGCTGAAGTCCACGCTGGTGCTGATGCCACTTTTCGGAGTCCACTACGTGGTGTTCATGGCCATGCCCTACACCGAAGTCTCCGGGGTCCTGTGGCAGATCCAGATGCATTACGAGATGCTCTTTAACTCCTCTCAGGTACGTGGGCAGGGGTCCCTGCTCCGAACACCGAGCGATGGGGAGGGGGGAGGCACGCGGAGAGCTCAGGACTCCAACTGCCCCTCTGTCTCTTGGCAGGGTTTCTTTGTGGCTTTTATCTACTGCTTCTGCAACGGGGAGGTAAGTGAAGCGCGAGCAGCCAAGTTCCCTGTCCCAGCCCCGTTAGGGTCAGGGGAGTTAACCCACAGCCCCCAGGCTGGGATAACAAAAAGGAAAATTCAGATCCATTCCTCTCAGTAGGATTTGGAAGGGAAATAAAAGCACTTAGGAGTGAAAACCACGGGGACGGGATGCCTGTTTTGCTGGCTCCGGGCACCGGCAGCCTCTCCGATCTCTCCCCCACGGGGAGGCGGGGGTTTA